GTTTAGTGGCATGCACTCTCCAGGGCTGAGTTCTTGCAAGTGTGTGGGTTGGTTCGTTCATACCTATTTGTGCATGTGTAATTATTACTTTTTAGCAAGACCAACTGGATGGCGTTACTCTGGGCCAAGTCATTAGGCGCTGAAATAAAGAAGCTTTGTTTAGTTGTCACGGTCCACGAAATTCTATTTAAAATCCGGCTGCTTTCCAGAAGGCGACAAAAAGGCTGAAACAAAATGCTTCTGTGCCTTTACACAGATCACAATAAGGCTGAACCTCCTCAAGCAGAACACGACACGCTCACTAGACGCATAACAAGGTTGTGTTTGATGAATTGTCATGGAACGGGTTCGAAATATGGCATCGTGTTGTGAAAAAGGTCCTCTGGTTGTTAAACTTCTTGACGTTTCCAGAACTGATCAGAACTTCTTAACGCTTGCAAAACCGATTCACGAAATTGGCTCCTCAGAACTTTTTTGCTTTTTCTCTGAGTCAAACTCTGGTTTCTATCCCAAATATTGGTTTGTGTCCATTAGTCAGACACACTTCAGTCTCTGTCCCCTGGCTTATCCACGTCCTAAACACTCATTCATTATTCTCTCCAGTGTGTTTAAAGGTCTGGTAGCAGTTACGGTGGGTGTAGACATTAATTTAATACGCCACCAGGTAGTGATGAGGAAGGGTTAGGGTTGGGTCAGGGTTTAAACCCTAACCCTTTTGAAACAAAAGCCATGAAATATCTTTGTTTCTCCTCTGTCTAGTCTCCTAATTTATTCTACTTTCAGTTTATTTCAAGGAAGAACACACATTTGTTAGTTTCATCACATCTAACATCACATTGAGTAATTTTTTTCAACATCACTTGTACATTTGATGGCACTCAATGAAGACCGGGTGACACCTTCTGAGAAGATTTGAGGCTCGTGGCTAGTCTCTAGTGGGCAGACGAGGGAACTGCAACATTGTTTTACTTCAAAATATACGAGAAGTCAAATTGTACCAGATTTAACAATATGTTGAGTTGGAATGAGCCAACAAAATCATAATTTTCCCACAGTGCATGCTGTTTATTTTTGTTGTTGATTTCATGACTTAAATGGAAAATGCCAGACGAGCAAGGATGGGCGTTTAGGATCTGCTGATTTATGATGGTTCATGCAGCAGTGACTTTTGTGCAAATATGTTAAAAGAAATCCATGTCTTCACCTTTTCTGGACCTCCGTATCCTTACCAGCTTTTCTAAAGATTAATCATCCAACCAGATGTCTCCATATTTACCAGGAAACCACTTCTTTTTTTCTGTGGGGTTTTATTCTGAAGTGTGCTGTCGGGGTTAACGCTGCAGCCCAAACATTTCAGCTCCTTATCTTAACATTCAGAAGATGCGACTCTGAAACTCCTGGCTCACACCTGACATTTCCGGAGAAGTGACTCAGACTTTTCCCCCCCACTGTTTGTCCTCACATTTCAAACGAGAAGCTCAGCCGTCACAGATAATGCGCACAGGGATGACATCTTCACAGACTTGCTGGCTCACCATGCTTTTGTTGCTGCTCTGCTGGATACAGCGAGAGCTTTCATGGCCTTTCCATCTCCTAACGCCTAACAAACCACGGCCTATGGGTCGCTTTGATCTCCCGAAGCAGAAAGCTGCCAAAATACCGCAGACAAGGCATTCAGGAGGTTTTGCACTTTGAGTCTAACTCTGAATCCCAACCCCTTGGTTGTTTTGTTTCCTGTGGTTTAAAAATAAAAAAAAAGGATCATTTTAGAACTTTTAACATTTAGAAGATAAGATTCAATCTTCTGATGCAGAGATCCAAGAACCAAAGTTTCATTTATCATTTATGAACCCAAAACCTGATTAGCAAGCTGGCTTTGTCTGAGTCAGCAAAAGACCAAGGTGAATCCTCAAGTGGACTACTGTTAGGAAACATTTCTCCAGAGATGTTGCACACACCATACGGCTTTACCCGCAAGGCAGACACATCTGATAACATTCATGTGATTACAAAATAAGTTGAGGTTCTTCTGACTTTTTGTTAGCTGTATCTGTATCACACTTGCAGTCGACAGCAGTCAGAATGATCTTAGTTGGGAGAATAATAATGAATTCTTACAGAAGAATCAAGCTATCGGCTATTCAACGTAAATGGCTTGCATTTGATATAGTGCCTTCTAGAGTCCTGGAACCCCTCAAGGCGCTTTACAACACAACAGCTGTTTTTACAGGACCTTAGCGTTTGCAAAATGGGATTTGCTGCGGCTCCCAGGGGAGGATAAAGGTCGTTTATGTGGCGCAATCGTGGCAATTTTGTAAAAGTTAGGTGATGGTGGCATAAAGGGGGCACGAGGGCGGTCTCTGCGCTGCCGCCGACTTCCATTTATCTTGGACATAACTTGCTTTTTATTGCGATTGAAGCCGTGATTGTTAAGTTTTTTTTTTAAACAAGCAGCTCCTAAAGGTGTCGGTCCCCATCAGTCCCTGTGCAGTCTCTGGTGGTCTGAGCTTCGGCTCTAACAGAGAGGCTCGTGGAGCGCTGCGGTGCTCCAGTTTACCATCTCAGCTGATTTTGTTCAAAAAGCAAACCTTATTGCCTGTGTTTACTTTCATTTTCAATAAATTTGCCAGCCGGAGCTCAGCAATAACTCCCCCCCCCCCCCCCCCCCGTCATCATGACATCTGCCTCTGTTGGACTGGGACAACACAAGGATCATCAACACAGAACAACAGAAATACAAAAGATGGATAAAAGAAGCTATCGAGATAAGGAGACGTGAATGTGGGACCATGCATGGACGTAATTTTTTGGGGGGACAGGGGGGTCATGTCCCCTCCACTTTTTCCGAAGTCTAGTTTTGACCCCTGCACTTTTTACCATCCAAAAACAATATTATGCTATATTAAATTGACACTGGTTGAGCTCTAGAACCAAGCAGAAAACAACCATTTGTGTTGAAGCCTGCTTCCCATTAGAACATACTGTAAAGATGACACCCCCACCCCCCCACCCCCCCATCCCCACTTCTAAAGTGAAAATTACGTCCATGGGACCATGAACAGAGACGATGGAGTTTACTCGTTAGATCGCTCATGGGACCGCATCATCGGAGAAGGGAGAGCGGGCAGCAGAGGGCGACAACGTCCTCTGCTGCCGCGGATAAACGGAAAAGGAAGTAACGCCACCATCAGCGTCAGCCTGATGATGTTTGCAGCCCCAAACGAAACGTTGCAGATAATTAAACCTTTTCTGTGTTTTAAAAAGAACTGAAAGATGGAATTTGAAACTAAACACAGCAAGAACACACCAAAGAACTTCAGGTTTATGCTTTGCTGCGTTTTATTGCTGATGATATTAAAATAAGGGAGGGTTATCCTTGTCTCTGCCTCTTGATCAGCTGGTCCGCGACGGCTGGGCGCTGCGTGGGGGGGGTCCAGACTCATGTTTTATTACTGAGCTCTGTTGTGGCTTCTAATTAATAAAATGTGACAATCAGCTGAAACTGTTGAGAAAAGTTGGTTCAAACGAAATTACAGGAGATGTTCAGAAAGTCTGGAAGCCTGGTTCATCATGTGTTCATCATGTGTTCATAAACAAACCGCGTTACCGTGTTTTTGCACAGATCATCACCCATAACATTTAACTGAGCAGGGGCGGATTTAGGACTGAAGAAGATCCGGGGCTTAACACACGCGCGCGCGCACACACGTGCCACGCACGCACGCGCGCGCACACACACATGACACACACTAGTCAACATCATATATATTTGTCTTGTACCACATAATTTTTAATCTGAAGCTACATATTAAGCATATTCAGGGCAGAGTATTGTTCCTGTCAGTGTTTAGTGTGAGATGATAGTAAATATTCCCTTTCTTTCTCCATCAACTTTACCTGATAGTAAGCTAACTTTAGGCAAACCAGCAGCACAACAAATATTTTCAAATAAGACTCACAAAACTGAGTCAACACCAGTATCATCAAAGCTGGGGTTCTGTCGCCGTACTTTTGGTCTAAAAAACGTCCTTATGTCCATCTTCACTCATGCGTTTCAGGCAGAGACTGTAGAAGAAGCCGGCTGCTGAAGGGCTTCTTCTTCAGTGGTGGAGGCTCAGGCAGGCTGTAAACAAACTACTGCCAGCTGCGCCCTCTCTGTTGGACTTTGGTACTGCATGTTACTTCCGCGATTTAGATCCGGGGCTTATCATGAAAGATCCGGGGCTTCAGCCCAGGTAGCCAGGCCTAACGCCGCCCCGTAACTGAGGATGTTTTTCTACTGAACCTCAGCCTCCTTGAACTCAAACTAGGTGTGTGTGACCGATGTTACCCTGTCTTCTTTACGTGCACATCTCCATCCACCTGCTGCAGAATCTGTGCTGCAAAGCCGAAATAAATCTGCGTGTTTCCAGTACAGACTTGGACACGTTAGTCAAATGATTTGTGCAATAGTCAGATTTTTATTTTACTTCAACAAAAAATGCTAGTTCTGGATTAGACATATACAGAAACGGGTACGGCTTGCCATCAAATTTAAAAGCCGGCGCTCGTTAACTAGGCCGTCATGTTTTAAGTCAGGTAGTCTAAATGACGCTGGGAGGCTCGCTGGCTGTTGCACACATGCGCAGTGGGCATTATTTTACTCCAGCAATCCGAATGGCACGTCAATCGGAATGAGGATCGGACAAAACCACCCCTCTCAGTCGGATTGAAATTTCATTCCAATCGGACCGAACATGTTTATATGCAGTTTTTTATATGATTGGGCGTTCAATACGATCAAATGTGCACATGTAAGCGTGGCTACTGTTACTTTAGTTGTAATAATAATCGGAGTACTGATTTACCACCGCAGTTGCATTACTTGACAAAACCCAACTGTAGCTGGACATCTTTTATATTTTGGATGAAGTATGGCAACCCTACTAATGGCTTACAATAACTTATGTCTGAATACTGTTGAACCTTTTCTATGAGTTCAGAGCAATCAAGGAAAAATCTGTTGTAAACGTTATTATGTTTAATTCAACTGTAGCATTTTACCGTATGTTGACGATGTACGATGTTGTACGCAGTACAAAAAGCAGAAACCAAAAACTTCTTTACAATTTGGGCCAATAAAACTCACAAAAACGTAACATTTCTGATAGATTCGTAACAACGTCAACAACACAAAGATTCATGACATCATGATTGGAGATTAAACTAGGACCATGAGGGTTACTTTCTCACATATCTTTTTAATAAAAACTGATAGGTTAATATATTTAATATTACAACATATTTAAAAAGCTATTGTGTGACACCTGGTGGGTCTTTTAAAGCAGGACCTATATGGAAAAATTATTTCCCAAAAAGATTTGAGTTTTCACAGAAGGTGCTTCTTTTCACATGCCGAGCACAAAACAGGTGGGTTTCCATGGAAACGGGTAACAGAGAGAAGCAGAAACAAGCTAATGTGTGTTTTCTGACAGCAGATGGCACCAAAAGTATGGAAATAAACAATTTTAGTTTTGATGAGGGGCCCAAACACCAACTTCTATAACAAGACAACTAAAAAAATTTTAGCAAATGTTAATTTGAAGGAAATATGGTGAATGATGAGGATTTATTTTATTATATTGTTGTAGTTGGACAATAAATTAAAGTGCCTTTAAAAGAAGTTTAATAGTGGTTCCAAACATTGGTAGGTTTTCAACATAATTTTGGCTGAAAAAAGAAAACAGATTGTACGAAAAAATATAACAAAACACAATTTATATATATATATATATTTTTTTTTTTTCCCCCTCACATTTGGTCATCCCCATGTCAAAATTTATCATGCACATTTTAGTTTAGCTTCAGTGAGGCTGGATATTCCAAATTGAATTTACGATTTTGCCACATTTCTTGATTTTTATACAAACTTGAAGCAACAAGCTTTTAACCGTTTTAACAAACAGAGTCCTAATATAAATCTAATTCTGTGGCAAACTTCCTGTTGTGACAAAAGTTGGCTTTGGCACAAACTTCCTGCAGTCGAAAAGGCGAAAAGAGAACAAAGAAACTTGAACAAACGTACAAATAAGCGCTTTTTTTACATAGAACATGAAGCCATAAGTGAAGCGGTTTACATTCAAATTTAAAGATTGAAACAACACGATTAAATGTCCGACTTATAGATTTTTAAACATATTTAACATTTTAACAGATGCTTAACTTTTTATGAATGTCCGTCGACATATTGAGTATACACATAATGTACAGTCCAATGTAATTTCACCATTTGATCTTATTTACCAAAATGCACAGATAATGTTTAGCAGCATTTACTGAAGCGAACATCGCAGAGTCTGAAAAGTGAAACGCAGAAAATAAAAATGACGCAAAGTATTATATGTAACATTTAATCGAAGTAGAAAGAATGAGGTATTTTTGGTGGGCATTTTTTAAACAATGCTCCGTAACACAAAGAGAAGATGGACAAAACACGAAGGCAAATAAAAGGGACTGAAGCTGCATCTTTAAAGTTAATAAAAAAAAAGAAATACTTGTGGCTCGTAGATGTCCGTATGACGCAGCAGCTGCACATGTAAACAACACCGTGGTGATAGGATGCGAAAGAGCAAAAAGTGTAGAGAAGGAAACACGAGTAAAGGCAAGCCAAGCAATGAGAGCGAGGAGCGATTGCGTTCAGCTGAATTTCCGAGTCAGATCACACAAGAGTTTCCGGGAGCGTGTCGGCATTGTCTGAAGATAGTAGCTGCCAGATGTGGTACCGGTCCCTCTGCCAGTCCCTCCACTCTGGACTCTGTGGCATCAGTCTTGTTGAGGGTGAGTCACTCAGTCTGGCGTGCTGCGGATGGGGCTGCTGAGGCAACGTGAGCTGAGGGGAACTCAGCGAGTTGGCCAGGAGGTGGTGGGCATTGTACGGGGGAGGAGAGCGGCCGTCATTGACCCCTTGTCCAGTCGCTCGCAGCGGACCTTGTGAGGTGCTGTTCAGGTGGGGTGACGCAGAGGCGTTGATGCTCAGCTTCAGGCGTGGTCGCCCTGTTTCTGAACTCGGACCGCTACGCACTCTGGTGACTGGTGGGTGCAGTCTACACTCTGGGTTGCCAGGTATTGGATGAGTCCATTGTGCCAATGCAGGAGGCTTGACATCACCATGGAGTCCATCAAGACCCTCCTGCGAGCTGGGTGAGCTTTCCTCTGACATGTTGCTATGGAAACCTAAAAACAAACACATGAGTGGAACTAATTAGTCCTAATGAATAATAACACCCATGTACAAATAAAACCCTTGGCTTCATTAAAACATTCACAAATCTATTTCAGTGTTTCCTCAAGGTGGTTATGTAACCATTACCCTTTAACACAGGCTGATTAGTAGAATGAAGAAAACTTTAATAATGTTTTAAAACAACAATTCATTTGTGTGTGTTTTTGTAACAACTGGGGCAAAAATATGCTTTTACTCCACTTTATATTTCATTTACCTTATTTCAAACCTGTAATTGGTGCCCTGACCCGGGATTTGAGGACTTGTTTTTCATAGACATGCAAAACACAACTTGAATGTCTGCTGATTCGAACATGGTTACCTGTACACGGCTGGTTCTTGAGTGCTGGTTTGAGAGTACTGTGCCATGTGCCCCAAATATTAGCATGGTCATCTAAAAGAAATAAAAAATCTATGGTTACCTAAGAGGGCAATGAATCAGATGTGTTTCTCTGTGTGAATCATAATTATGGTACTATTGACCTTTGGAACCCCAAGAGTCAAGTCCGGCTTCCTGCCCTACAACAGAATACTGCTGTTGATCGTTGGCGGGGCTCCCCAGTTCCCCTCTGCGTTCGCTCAGAACTGGAGAGTTATTGTCATAAGGAGACACCTCGCCACTGGACGCCTTGTTGGAGTCACTGGATGAATGTCGCTTGTTTAGGTTGAAGGGTTCCTCGGACTGCAAAATGTCAGGAGTCCTGCAATTTGATTTGTGAACAGCAAGATGAAAAACTCAAAGGAGAAAAGTACCAAAACTGTAGTATAATATACAAGTACTCACTGTGACGCTTTTCTCCTGAGGAGGTAATCAACCACGTCTGGATCAGTCTCCAACAGACTCATCAGAACTTCATTTTGCAAGTCAGGGGGCACCTAAAACAACACAAGTAGGCTTTGCAATTTTTTGCTGCGATGACACTTTTTACATTTCAAACCGAGGTTTTGCCCTACACAGAAGTGGAACCAAGTCATTGTTCTGCAAGTCTCAATTGCATTATATAGAAACAAAGAAAAAGTGACATCCTGTGGTAGAATTTGGTTACTGCAACCACTTTAAACAACTCTGGAGCGTTTTGCCATCGTTGTAAAATTACAGTTGTCGGTGCTGCAGTATTAGCTCGCAGGGAACACGACCCCCACACTCACTGACAGTAGTTACGTCCCTCCTTCTTTTGTTTTGAAAGGAGAACAACTGACAATCCCCGCAACCAGCTGGAAATGAAATATGTTTCGGTATAACCTTCATCATTCCAAAATGACTGAAACAGACTCTTTTGGGATTTTCTCACTGTAAAATTCCCACTATATTTTTACATACTGCACCTTTAAGTCTCAAGTTGTTATTCCCAATTTCAAGTCAAGTCCCAAGTCTTGACACTTCAGATTTCAAGTCATTTAGAGTAATTTTTTAAAGAACATTGCAATATCACATGTAAATCCATGTGCTTTTTATGAAATCAGTATTGATGAAACAAGTGCAAATCAAGTTAGAAATTATAGCTAATAATTTATAAGATGTGTTGGAAAAATACTTTATGCAGGTGTAAGTTAAATGAATGGCAGAACTAAAACAGGGTCCAATTTACACAAAGTGAAACTATCCGTGATTTATACCAACACACACAACTGGAAAGTGTTCCTTTCCTAAAAATACTATTTCATAATGGAGGCAAATAACATCAAATAATTCTCACTACACAGTTCTAGAGCAGTGTTACCTAATTGACTAAATATTTTCGTTTCTTTCTTTGTGATGAATGAATTTTTGCTGACTAAAGCGAAACTAAAACATACACGCCAATAAAGGCTAAATTATGACGAATATTGATCAACATTTTCGGTGACGAATAAGAGACAACAAGAACTGACAAACAAAAATCCAACCAGAAAATGGAAAAGATCGGACAACGTAAAAAAATAACAAAAAATCTATCAGCAAATGGAAAAGGCGGGACTACATGAGAAAAGAACCAACCAGTGTCCTGATTTGGCCTCTGTTGGAACAAGCTACTGCTTGCCATATGTGTAAGTAACAGTTTATGTTGAAAAGGAGAAAATGTCCACGGTGGGGAGGAAATGCATTATATGTGACGATCTGATAACAACTTGGTAGGTGAGTACGCATTCGTTGTTTCCCCTCGTTTTAAAAGTGGTATGGTGGTAGCAGCCGAGTGCCGTGGGCAAGAAGGGGATTGCTGGAGCGAGCTGAGCCGAAACGAACGAACGGAGCAGCGCATAGGTTGTTAACCCTCCCACTGTCCTCATGGGGGTGACCCCGCAAGGAAAGTTGACCACTGAACAGGATTGATGGTTTATCCCTTGGGTCCATATGGCAGGGGTGAGGAGTGAGCACCACCTCACCCCGGCCGCCACGTGTACCTCAAGAACCATCAACCCTGCTCAATGGTCAACTTTCCTCGCGGGGTCACCCCCATTAGGACAGTGGGAGGGTTAATTGTTCTTGCGGCACTGCTGCAACCGATGTCATCAGCGCTCGGTGTTCTAGCTGTGTTTTTGTGAGGAAAAAACTCATGCAGTTTAGAAGAAAGTTCAGGATAAACTCTAGTAAACACACCTAAAAGCAATTGTTGCCTTTAGGTTATTTGAATAGCACGTTTTATTGTTTTGATGGTATGATGTCATTTCCTGTCATGTTTGCAAATATCACTGCACATTATATAGATTTGTTTACTATATTAATACTCAGAGACACAATTTCAAACTGTCAGTGTTCGTTTAGGTATTTTCCATTAACTATTGTTATTAAAACAAGTATAACTATAGTTTTGCTGATTCAAAGTGTGAAATGTGAATTTTTCATATTTTTTAGAATAGGTGTAGTTAATATTTTCTTAACTTAAAAAATTACATTCATTTTACTGACGTTTACAAATATTTTACTAGAAGAAAGATACATTTGTTTTAGTCGACTAAAACAAGACTAAAATTAATAAGAATTGGATTACTGAAATGGAAGACTAAAACAAAATTCAAATTTATTGTCAAAATTAACACTGATCCAGAGATAAAACACTGATCCAGAGATAAAACACTGATCCAGAGATAAAAAGTAGAATACGATCTCTATAACCGGTTTTCTGTTAACTTTAATAACAAACCACATTTTTACCAGTCGTGTTTTTTTGTTGTCTGGAGCTAAAAAATGCTAAAGGTTCACACATGTACTGTATTCTTCGGAGTATAAGTCGCATCAGCCGTAAAATGTAAAATGTAAAGTGTGTTTGCTTGTAAACCTGCAAATGTTTCTTTGTTATATTATATTGTACTATTGATTTTAATTTCTCATTAAACTTCTCATAAACTTCTCATATAATGAAGAAGAAAAAAGCATATGTAAGTCGCACTGGACTATAAGTTGCATTTTGGGGGGAAATTTGATTAGTTTTCTTACAAAATCTGAGACCAAACGTTTCACATTGCAAGACAAGTACCGGTAACAATAACAGAAGAAACAATCAGGGTACAGCAGTGCACCACGGTCTCCAGCAGAGGATGGCAGTGTTTCAAACCCTCCCAGCGGGGCGGAGGAGCTGAAACCTGGACCGGAGCTGGCCCCTCAGCAGTGTGCAACGGTCTCCAGCAGGTGATGGCGGGGCAGGGGAGCTTGTTTCTGGTCCGGAGCCGGCCCGCGGCAGTGGGGTATACATAATTTGGTAATAATTTGGTTGTAATATACAACAACTCTTTGATGATTTGATTATTATATTATTCTGAGCTACAACAGCAATCAATTTCCCTCTGGGATTAATAAAGTATTTTTGAATTTGAATTTGAATTGAATTTGAATTGACTGCTGAACTTCAGCCACCCTATCCTTTGTTGCATTTGTTCCAAATGCACTTTAAAATCTTTTCATCCATTTGTTTATTTTACAAATGTTGATTTTGTTTACTTCGATCCAAAAACTCTTAACTAGTTTCCCAATAATAATATTGTTTCATACCTAAACTACACATAAAAAAGGGTTAAAATAGCTTCAAAAGATAATTCACAGAACTTGAGTTCACATTTTGCAACTTGTATTGCAAAGGACTAAAAGCGCCAAGGTTTTTCATTTTAGACAAAAGTTTATATTTTGACTGGAAAAAGTCCTACATTGATTGTGCAAAGAAATGAAAAGTTATATTCATTTATACACATCTTTTTATAGAGCCCCCTTTGCATTAGGAAATCTGATGTTGTGTATAGATTGGGCACAGTGACTGACCATGAATAGCATTTGGTAGCTAGCAATCATCCTCTGCAGTACGGCGATGACAGCAGTGCTCTCCTCAGCTCGGGCTGAACTCTGGACACTGAACTCCTTGTCTGAATTCTTCTGCTTGTGAAGGAGATTTGGGCCAAAGATGGTGGCAAGGTTTAAAGAAGTCATCTTGTTCCCTGGTATCTGGATTCAAAAAGGACAGCTTGTTAAATGCGCATTTTTGGGGCGCTCAACCTGTTCCAACTTTTTACATTTTAAAATGAACCCAAACCACTGCAAAAAGAGGTCTTACACGGTATAGGACCACCGTCTAGTGGTAAGTAGATCAAGCTTTTCCAGTCAAATTAGCTAAATGGTCAAAGAACTGAACTGATACAATGTCTTTCAAGTAGAATGAGACTGTAGATTACACGTAGCGTTCGTAATTTCTGTCTCTATTATTAGGCTAATTAGTGATTATCTTCCTTTCTGTCACAGCTGACATAAAACTCAGGTCATGGCTGATGAGTGCTCTTTCCCCTGAATCTTATCAACTAAAAACTGTTTGATAACTTCAATATGAACATCACTTCTTTAACGTCCCATTTGCTTCAGATGCTATATATCCAAGACGAGAATAACAATCACACACAAAGGGGTTTCAGTTTATCCTCATGAAACACATCCAGATAAAGTATATTCCCATATGTTGTACACAGTTGAACAACACATAAGCACATACACTGATGAGCTAAATGTCAATGTACTTTTTATAATGTTAAAATTGAAATTTTTTTTCTTGCATACTTGTGTAATTATACCTAGAAAATTCCTAGAATAGAATATCTAAATCTGTAATAAATCACTACATAATCTTGTACAGTGAAATCCATGCAATATTTGCAAATAGTGAGCTATTTAAAGTTTGGATCCTGGACAAGACCCCAAATATTTGTTGTCAAGTTGCTAAATTGAGGTTGTTTATAGAGCTATGTAAAACGGGTTAGATACTAATTGTTCAGAACCTTTACACAGTAACTCATTTCAAGAGATCTGAACAGTTATTTAGAGTTTCATCATTTATAATGTGTATCGTGAAAAAGTGAGTTTTGTTTTATAAACTTTACAAGAGTTGATTGAGTTGTCTCGAGCAACTTTGACGTAACTACAGCCATTCACACAACTGAGACAACTTGATCAAACTTAAATCAGTGTTTGTGCCAAGGATTTACTTGTTCTGGCTTTGAAAACTAAGCAAGAAGCTTTTTAGATATTTTCTTTTCTTTTTGTCATTTACTTGTTTCCTACCTCTTGACCATCATTGGCCAGCTGGTCATTGGCATGGTTAGCCACCGTGCACAAGAACTCAAGCAGCCGGTGAAGAGTGTCGCTGTTGCATGCTGGGAGCAGATAGAGCAGAAGCTGGCTCACACTCTGCTGTTCGTCTGAATCCAACACTACAGCATAAACAGAAAATGGCATATATATATGACAAATATCAACAAAAAGGAAAGGCTTAAAATGAGGAGCAGAGAGACGCTCACATGTGGTGTTAATGAAGGCCGAGTAGAGCTCCTTGGTCAGAAGAGGGTCGGGCATGTCCCTGAGGAACTCCTTTAGCAGAGCCGCCACGTCGTGAACGCTGTGCTCCTCATCTAGCTGGACGTCCACACCGCGATCAAATTCCTCACGCAGCTGAACCAGGCAAGAACAACACAAGAGATCATTTTTTGCATCCTGGTCTCGACAAGTGGCCAGACAGATTCTTCACTACTAGGGATTTTAATACTGATCATCTAACCCTTTGAATGACTTCCAGTCTTCCATGATGGATGTTTTATTATAGCTAACTTCCTCCTACACATGGAAACATTCTGATTTATTACTAAAATACTTTAACCAAGGCCCAATAAGGGATTTCTAAATCACCATGTTATCAAGCTTTAAGTTGATAAATAAACTGAGGTGGTTTCTAAACAGCTAAAAGTAATGCTCTAGTTTAAAAGAAACATAAAACTGATTATAATTCAGGTTTAGAGCCCGGAAAAGTAGTAGAAATGTAACCTTTTTATTTTATGTTCTTTTTGATTTCCAAACTGACATTATTTGAAGAGCTTGAACTCAACTCTCAACTCAACTCAACTTTATTTATAAATCAACTACCATCTCAAGATCATGTCGTGACAGGAAAGGTTTGATCTTTGACAGCCGACGAAGGTGGAAAAAGGAGGAGGAGATCTTTCCATTAATGTGGGTGTCAAAATAAAAGGCGCTATCTAGTTTAACACCAAGATTAGTCACTGAAGCACTCAGCTGACCATTAAATGACCCACAGTCAATTAAAGAAGAATCAGAATGTATGCTTGGGGCAAACAATATAGCCTCTGTTTTCTGATCATTTAAGCTCAGAAAATTTCCACTCATCCAGGCCTTAAACTCCGTCAAGCAATTCGTAAGATTAGAAATAGAGAGACCTCCTGACGTGTTCAGAGGCAGGTACAGCTGACAATCATCAGCATAAAGGTGAAAGTAAACTCCAAGCTTACGACAGATATCAACTAAGGGCAGAATGTAAGTAGAAAAAACAAAGGCCCCAATATCGAGCCCTGTGGTACCCCCCAGGGTCAATTAAAGTACTCTGAGGAATAACTTCCCATCCTTACACACATCTTTCTATTTGTCAGCTATGATCTAAACCACTCCAGGGCTTCCCCTGAAATCCTGACATAATAATGGAGACGGTGAAGCAGCACTTCATGATCTGTCGTGTCAAAGGCAGCCGTGAGGTCCAGCAGAAGTAACAACACAGAATTACCGCTATCAGTAGCTAGATAAATATCATTGAGCACTCTAACCAGTGCAGTCTCAGTGCTGTGTAGAGCTCTGAAGTCAGACTGGAAAGACTCAAAAATGGCATTCTCATCCATAAAAACCAAGAGCTGGTGGTAAACACATTTCTCTAGTACCTTACTTAAGAATGGAAGTTTAGAAATGGGCCTGTAGTTTGCAGACAGCGAAGCATCCAGTCCAGGCTTTTTGAGCAAAGGTTGAATACCGGCCTTTTTAAAATCATCAGGGACTATGCCAGAGCTTAGCTCATGTTAATTATGTGCAATATTAGAGGGGCGACTACTGGAAAGACTTCTTTAAAGAGGCGCGTAGGCACAAGGCCACAATAATGCATGTTTACTTAGAAATATATGGTTATGTGCATGCACAAACTTAGCCGCAGCACTTCTAGAGCAACATGGGACACTTCCAGTAAGAAAATTTTTAATATTTGACCAAATAACCATTTAATCTAAAAATGACAGCAATTGAAAAGTATTTTAAAAATCATATACAGTTATATATATATATATATATATATATATATATATATATATATATATATATATATATATATATATATATAATTTATTTTTCTTCTACATTGGAGTGACTTTAAAGACAGAAATCTGCTTTGGCCAACTCTAATGTTAATTAATGTTAGTGGCATAACCTCCTCCCAGTAAAAATTCAGTGTCTTCTATTTAATTACAAGTGTTGTAAATGTTTACAGCAGAAAGGATTGTGTCTAAACCCTCCGCCCACACTGATCGCCCCATTGAACTTCAACGAAGTGAAATGGATCAGTTAATGACAGCTGTGGGAGTAAACACTACAACATTCAAACAGTTTTCCTTTGAATAACTAAAGGAGCTTTTCCTTTGGATATCTATAGTGTTTGTGTGGCTTTGTGCTCCTAAATGTAGGGTGAACAAAGCAGAAAATGACGTTTCGGTGTTGGTTTTCCCTATTTTTAGAGATGAGGTTTTGTTTGCTGGTACTAAAAGGTGTGAACGGTTCACACAAGCTGCTTTGCTCTAATGGAAACTCCACCAAAACTGCAGTTTTTTTTACCCCGTATATAAAATACCTTCCCCAAATGTATGAATATGTTTAAAGATGATACATTGAGGGGTTTAATTTGAGTAAAAATAACCAAGATTAGCAATTTTTTAGAGTTTTGTTTCTTTCAAAAGACATTAATAACTATGGAATACCCACTTGTCTGACTCTCTTCTTGGAGCTTCCTACTCTAAAAATTCCCACAGTCTGCAAACCTGAATGGAAAAAAGAATGAACTGGTTATTTCAATGGTACATTTGGAAAATGCACACTGTATTGTATTGTAGTGGAAACAAAGAAAACAAACCGTATTTCTCGAGGTGCTGACAGCAGCTGTCGACCACGCGGGGAACCTGCCGGTAGATAGGGTTGAGGCTCAGCCTTTTATCCCTGTGTTTTTCCTTTTTGCTGGGCGTCTCAGCCGGCAAGGAGAGCTGCAATGCCTCCAGGAGGCGCGACTGGTTGTCATCCAGGTCTGTGATGGAGTCCACAGACATGCCACCCTGGTGGGTAAACAGGCATTGGCTTTAACATGAAAGAACCACCCAATTTTTCATTTCATTTAACCTCTAATGTTACAAATGTTTATTCACCCTCCTGCAAGCTCGCGGTGCAGATTCGGGGGTGTTCGGTGATGTCGACTCGTTGGTTGTCTCCGACGTGGAACTCAGAGAGGAGTTACTGCTGGACAACTCTTTGTTGGATGGGCGCTTGGTAGCAAACTGCAATACATGTGATTTTATTTGACCTTTTTTCCTTTTCAAATATGCAAAAAGTTCATCCTGAGAACTGAAGAAAACAAACATGTATTGACGGACTTGTAAAATAGACGAGACGAGGTCAGAGGAGTCCTTGTGCTCCTCTCTCTGTGAATGGTCCTGACGATAGCCATCCTGTCGCTGCCTGTGTGTTCTGTCATTAGCAATGACCTGGGAGAGGGGTATGCTAAAAGCCTGGGGTATGCTTTCTGAGGGGGAGAGAGCAAGAAAAAAAGGGAGAAGGAAGAGTGTTTATTCAGTTCCAGATGACAGAAACACCAAACCAAAGTATAAAGTTACCAAAATAGCTGTTAAGACATCAAACGTATCTCTTTAATACATCTGTTGTAGCTTGGCTCAGACACAAATGCAATAAAAGCATCAGAAAGCCTGTTTACCATGCCAGTAAAAACTCCTACAGCATGATTAAAGCTCTACATCTGTTTTCCAGAGTAATACATCTCAGAAAGAACACCAACATAACTTTGGCAGCCTTCGTCTTTTAGTGCTTTTGACCAAAATAACACAACTTTTATGGTTCCCATCCACAAGAAATGTTGTGTTCTCCAACCTGGTCTATTTTTAGAAGCAGTAAGAGACCTAAAAGCAATTTTTATCCTGGTTTTTACTTGGTTATTTGATGGAAAAACATAGATCGATAGATGGCGTTACCAATACATTAGACACACTTTTTTCAAAAAGTAGTCAGGGCAGCCAAGCCTGAGCACATTAATCTGAGTAACAGGCTAGCACATCTGTGGTTTGTTTCAAACAGCAGATCCTGGGAGTTTTCTAAAGAGCAAACTTTTACGCCCCAAGAAAAGTTGATAAAAATATTATTTTGAAGAAAAATATCATATTAACCAGGGAAATTTTGTTTTAAAATGCAAACCCCCCAAAAAATAACCTTTTTCCATTTGCTCAATTAAAGGTGAAAATTTTACGAACTAAGCAAGAATGGTATCCTGTGGTAAAATGTGGGTACTGCATTCCTTTTTTTAACGCAAAAAGTGACTTTCTCACTGCCATTCCATGAGTTTCATGGCTGTTGCCAGTTACAGATAAGCACCAGAAGCTTCTAGATGACAAACAAAAATGAGTCATACATAGTAAGTTGATATGTAGATAAATACATTGTCATAGCTAGTGCTAGCACTCTTGGGTTTTTATGGTAGGGAGCATTTACTACACTTATTACGGTAATATCGGGACCTGAACGACTCATTTACTCATTATTTACTTCACACATACATTTCACTGTAATATTGAGTTGTTGGTAATTGAAAAGGTAGCTTGAGATATTTTCAGAGCTGACTATTTGCTTCTAATTTAGCGTTAGCATTGTTAGCTCAATGTAAGCCTCTAGCCTGCTTCTCCCGATATTAGAGTAAAAACAAAAAGGGGAACAAGAAATAACTTCTGGGTCGCTCCTGTTTACTGGCTTTGCTTTTTTTTTTAAACATTTCTGGAGATTTTTGCCTAGGCCGTGTCGAATTACAAACGCGAACCTCACAGGCTGACTGATTGTAAACAGTAACTACGTCCCTCTTTAGTTTTTTTTAAAGGAAAAATATCTGACAAGTCCCCAACCGGCTAAGAAGGAAATCTGTTTCAATGTAACATTCTGTCCAAAATGACTAAGACAGATAGATTTTTTTATCATTATTATTTTTGGAAAATGTAGGTTATAATTAAGAGATGGAAAAAGCAAACAAAAATAAATTGGCTCTCCTGTTTTTAAAATATCTGAATCAGCCATTGAGAAACCCACATGTATTGGATGTTTTGATGCAAAATATGAGACAAAAAGAGAGAAACATTTATAGGCCAATCATGATAAATATTGTAGAAATGTGGTAGGAAATGACTTTATTCTACATAAAATCTGAGTTAGACTACAGATTTATGCACATTGGCTGAAGCTGATGTCACACTGGGCTATTATCCCATGGTGGACAATCTCAGAGTCTGGTCTAACAGTTAAGGGGGAGAGAAATCCTATCCAGCTGTGCTGTGTGTGTGTGTGTGTGTGTGTGTGTGTGTGTGTGTGTGTGTGTGTGTGTGTGTGTGTGTGTGTGTGTGCGTGTGTGTGTGTGTGCGTGTGTGTGTGTGTGTGTGTGTGAGAAATAAAGAAAGGACGAGAAGGAGGGAAAGCAAAATGCATTCCACAACCACAAGTGGAGGGCTTTGGTTTATGAACAACATGACCGCTAACACTGACACAACGAATTTGCTTTGCACCCTTGGAGCATTAACAGGGCTTACGTAACCATCCGCACACACAAATACGTTTAAACTCAATGTGATTGTAATGATGTACATGGCTTTGCAGTGTAACACCAAGCAATTCACAGTTGAGTCCAGAGCCAAACCAAATTAATCAGGACTTCTACATGCATGTTATTGCAAGAACCTAGAATATCCAGGGCCATGTTTTCAAGACAATCAAGAGAAACATTTTTCTTTTTGTCCTCTCTCTTTCAGTCTTGCAGAAATTAGACTGAGTCCACTTCAAAGCTAAACACGTGACTGGTATTTGGGGGCTCCAAGAGGAAATTAAAACCAGGTAAATCTGAGCCTTTTTGGTTACAAAGGAGGGAAAAGTCCACCTATATGAAATCATAATCACGCACTCATATGTAACCTGACTTTGTATTTCCACAGCTGGATAAAAGAAGCTTCAAATATAACGTGGACATGGATGTCAAAAGTCTTTACTTCAGAAGCTATGCTCCAAGATATGAGCAAAGTACATCTTTAAGGGTTTAAACAAAATCAGATGGATTTAAGTTCAACGTAACAAGGGTTTGCTAAAAGACTATGCAGAATTGCATTGTAGAATGTCTTAAATGCATTTTTATAATGCTCACCTGGTGGGTAATTTGAAACATTAAAGGGCAAGCCCAGTCATTCTCCTAGTCTGACAGTATTCTGTTTGGTTTAGCTTAGCATAAACAATTTAAGTGAATGGTACCAGCTAGCATTTAGTGTGAAAGAGTCATCAAAGTTACATAATAATGGTCATAACGTTTTGTACTGAGTGCAAATGAAAATATTAATAAACATGAAGGAATTACAGGAGCCGATTTAGACTTGGGACTACATTATGACAAAGCAGTGCTGTAAACTGCCATCGCAAGGAGCAAGGACATGACACAGAAGTCCCAAAAGACACCTACATCATCTGTCATGTACTCTGCCACTGTTAGGGCAACTTACTACAGTGTTCCTTCAAAGAGCTGTACCAGGTGGCCTAGTGGCCATGCATTTGTGTTTACAGAGGTAGGGTTCTTCTGAGGCTGCTGCGTCATCTGCTTGCAGCGGTGCTTTGTTGTAATGCAGTTCCATGTCTGAATCAAACCATTATTGAGGTCACTGAGAAAATTTTGGATCGTTGAGTAATTTCCGTAACTTTTTCTCATGAAAGGCTAGCTGTTACCGTTCACTTAAAGCGTTTGTGCTAAGCTAAAGCTAACGGAGAACTGCCGGATCAGGAGAAGGACCGGGCTAGGGTTACGAAATGCTTTTTCCCCACTTATCTAACTCGGGGAGTATGACAAAAGACTAAATTCCACGTAGAGGTGGAATGGTAAATGACCCGCTCTTGTTTAGCACCTTTCAAAGTCACCCCTCGTTCACATCAGACGTGGAAGCACGACGATGCGTCGCGAAGCATCGTGGAATGAAGAGCGCTTGTATTCGGTGGCCTTGTTAACTTATGGCCTCGTTCACATCAGCTGCGAAGCGTGGTGAAGGCTTGCGCTGTGCAGCGATCACTGATGGATTTAATAAATATGAATACAAACAAATATTTTGATTTCAAATGTAAATATACAATAGCATTGTACACTACCACAAATACTAGGTTATTCACTAAATTTGCTTGGTTTATTAAAATTAGATGATCATTTAATTTGCAAAACACGACGTGAATGCATGAGGTATGCTTTTTGGCTTGCCATATGGAGAATAAATTCACTTGAGAATTTATTTTTATTGGATGCATGTTTATAAAACTAACTCATAAATACATATTTTCTTAGAGGAGCAGGCTGGTTGCTGCTCTAGGACAGTCTCTTCAGGAGAAGCCCCTCCACTTAAGCTAAATTTAAACTCCTAATGCCGGTAAACAGATACTGTTTTTACAACCTCACCGTTCACCTGCCTAAAGGGGCGGGGACCAGCAAACTGAGCTTTTGTCTCACTGGCAGCACAACAGGATGGAGCTGAGACTGTAAAAAATGGAAAAAAACTACCTTACCTTTGTCCTTACTCTTTTCTTTTGCTAGGGAGTCCAGCTTCCTTCTCAGAGACTTTTTCCTCTTCTGTCCATCTGTGCCCAGAAGAGAAAAAAAAACATGTGAAACTAATCGTTTCCATATCTGTTGCTTCTTATCTGACTTCTTACATTTAATAAGTAAGGAATGTAGGCATAAATAAACCCCTTCACCGTGAGGTCAGACATGGTAGCAGCCACCACTGAAATTACTTTTAAACATTTCATTTTCTAATGACCTTACATGGTAAACAAATCCAGCTCCGGCTGTTTTCATTTGGTTTATTCGATTGTTTTTTTTTTTTAGATCCAAACTTCATCTTGTCTGATTAAAAACTGACAAAAACAAAAGAAAAACATTAAAGATTGTACAAAAACAGCAGCAGAAATGTGTCATTAGGTAAACACATTACGTAAGTATTCTTGAGTTTGCAAGAGAGGAAGCATCTTTGTCAGCTCTTGTTGTGATAACTGACTCTTGATCTGTTGATTACAGGCAGGGAACCCTGAAAACCATGGCACACTCACGGCTTAGAAACTGGCTGTCCGAACTTTTAAAGACCAGGGCCAAAACAGTCAAGTTTAAGAAATCCAAAAATATTTTATAGTGAATTTTCTTATTTGTACAGCTCAAAAAGAGACCTGATATCACTAAGATTTACATAAAATGTTTCCAAAGCGTTGATCTACATCAACCGTCTGCCGTAAAGACAAAATTCCAACATTCTAGAAATGCTATTTGGGGGCTAAACAATACTTCTTTCCACCGGACGCATAAGCAGTGTGTAACGTAATAGAGACATCTTCCCTGTAAGATTTTATAGGTGACATACTTTTTACAACTAGTTAAATATTAGGAAGTCTGCACATCTTTTATTTTGAAAGTTGCTGGACATTTTGACACTGCTGCTGTGTTTGACTTCCCGTCTGGCCCAATCTGAACTGCTGAGCTTGAAGTGTTCTGGAAGCATAGCGCCTAAAGATAGACCCAAAGAGTAAATTTATCAGAGTGATGCAAAACTACGTTTCTGGGACACGTACATGACACACCACTTCAGACACAGTGTTATCCAGTTCAAAGAAGTGCACCGTTTGCATTTGTCCAAAGACAGACATGGACCCAAGTTGTGAGCGTTGCAGACCATCACCTGCTTCACTTTATGATAAGTTATAGACATGCCTGAAACTGAAGGGATTTTTGGGGGGTTTATTTTTGATGCACTATCTAGGCTTTGTAAGAATACTGTGCGCCTTGACCTCTTGAACGCTGTTTCTGGAAACACACCCATCAACTGTAATGGTGGCTATCAGAAGTGTACTACACTTCACAGACTTTACTTGACACCTTCGTCTCCGGTGGAAAGCTGGGGCAGGGGCTGCAAATGGCCCCCTGGGCCACGAGTTGGTCATGACTGGTTTAGAGGCATTGCCTTGGATAAAATTAAGGTCTAATACAGGTTACAAGACACTATTCTCAACATAAAACCAATCATGTCCATAATTAGCTGCAAACTCAGAGATCCCGGACAAGTCCCCAATACCCAAATTAGAAAATAAAAACTTAATCAGAGTTTAAGACCTTTTATTTAAGAAAAAGGCAACTGGAAGTTTCACCAAGCAGGCTTTTAGTTGGCATTCAAAGTGCTGCCAATTGACATAATCAAGGCAATAAGCTTGAAAAAAAAATACCTCCACAACTTTGGATGCTCTCATCATGTTCTATCCACAAATAACATTTTTAAACAATAGATTTTTCTCATAAATCCATGTTTTTATCTTTTGTCTTGATCTGCTGGTTTGGTAACCTCAATCTGAACCCCAGATCACCAAACTTGTGTGAGCCATAAAGAAGCGGTGGGTGTGTAAGAAGAGAAAGAGAGAGGATGGGGTCCAAGATACAAGGCAAAAGAAAAGCAGATGTTCCAGTGGAGAAAGAGGGAGGGGAGAGGCCAAGATAGGAAATGGTTTGGATTTTTGACAGATGGAGCAGAAAGCCACATGGAAATCCCCAAACCTCCACACTCCCTTTTTCAGCTGCAGACCAGTTAGACACTGTCTAATGAACTGTTCCTACCGTTATCCCATCCCTTGTTGTCTCTCCTAATTCTGGCTCTCTTTAATCTGCGTCTTGCTCTTGAAGAACCACAAAAAACCTGCCACCTAATGCTCAGATAAATATTTTTTACAAAAATAACTTGAGCATTAGCTTAAATAGCCCCCACAGATGCACTCGAACGTTTGAAATATTTCCCTCTCTAGCACATGGCAGCCGTCAGTGGCTCTGGAATTCATAAGCAACACAGACAAGTACGTATTAAATCATGTTGGGGAGAGATTTAACCTTCAGTTGGAATTTAAGGCGCGGGATAATCCATTGGCTGCACTACACTGCTGCTATGGCACCCACTCCACTACAGTGTAGTGGAACAAACACACTCTTCACTGTGCACGATGTGTGTGTGAGTACTGCAAAAACAGAACGTCATCCAAGGGGTAAAGCTGACGTATGTGGGGGAAAATATTGATGTAACACAAAATGTGCACAGTTGGAAAACCGATAATCTGCTATTTAAATTTTGTGAACCATTACAGCCTGTGATGCTGAATACCGACTCATTTTGACCACTAGATTACTTTTTGAGCGCATTTCTAAATAATCGCCAGTTATTTTAATTGTTCCTGTTTGATAAATCTATATTTGTTATCCCACCCATTGTAGAAGACTGTCTCCTGAATAGCCCATATTTGGAGACAAAGCTTTTATGCCTGATGTGATTGACAAGCTAGTGGCTAGTGGGAAATTGGTCAAGACCGATGCGTATTGCCACTAGGGATGAGCTGGATACTCATTTCAGACGAGTATCCGGTAAGGATAAAGCATTTTTGATGAATACGAGCATGAAACGAGTAAAACTCATAAATATCTGTAATCGTGCTGAAGGAAAATCCTCATTGGGTAACTGACTGTCTTCACGCTCTGTGATTGGCCAGTCACATAGAGCGCCTGCCCCTCCCTACACACAAAGCTCTGCAGCCGGGAGCTCAGTCCGTCCGGTCCATCCACGCACACACACAGACAGTAACGGATCTCTCTGTGCTTGTTTCACTGTTGCTCACGTTTCTTCAGTATTCCCTAGGTTTTCTCCAGCTTGCCTCTTTTTCAGATGAATATTTAAAGTTACTTTTTTCATAACGTACGTGGTGCATTAGACAAGACAGAGCTGACGTGCTGCATCAGTCACTGCCTCTGCTCCGCTTGGGTTTCTCTCTCTCTCTGTCTCTCTCTGTCTCTCTCTGTCTCTCTCTCTCTCTCTCATACAATGAGTGATACAGAGGGTACCTCAGCTGAGACTGAATCAAATATTTATAATTTAAATAATCAAATTAAAATAAAATGTAAAAGTTGTGTCTGGTTCTAGTATTTCATATTTCCTAGTTCCTACTGCATGAGTTCAGATGTATTAATCCATGCACTTAAATATTAATGTTCTGATTTTATTGAAACACTTGTTCTGTAATAGTTCCTTTACTATTGAGATCAAAAATATTTAATCTCAATTCTGAGGCTGCTCTGTAAATAGTTTTCAAATAAACAATACACATATCAACTTCTGATCAATCCATATCAATTTCAGACTTAAAATAATGTATTGATGTAAACCACACCCACTTCTGGCTAAACTACACCCACTTCTGGGGTAGGCCACGCCCACTCCAAGTACAGATACAGATAGCGGTGTACTCGCTCATCCCCAATTGCCACCAACTTAAAACTGCTACAATCATGTTATGTAATTCTGATTAAATGTTTATCACTGTAAATGTTGCACTACAGGGTTATTTACAAGGAATTCTGATTATTAAGAACCATAAAATCACTTTCATTAGCAAAATGTTAGCCTAGAAATCTAGATAGACCATAGCAGTAGCAAAATCATTTTGCTCTGCACATTTGTCTAGTGACGCTCCATTGTAGGCTCAGCAGGTCTACCACTGACCTGAGCAGATTTGTGTCATGCCAATAACAGTGCTCTATTGGCTTGGTGGGCAGGATGGAACTGTGACAGCGCAAAACAACGAAAATGTCAGCGGCTTGTTTAAAACAAATTTAACACTATCTTTGGACTATTTAGACTTGAACTTTTTTCAAGATTGAGGTACTGAAGTCTTGTTTTTAGAAAAAGGACGTATTTGCGTCTTCTTTGACAATGTATAGCAGACTGCCCCGTTGACTGACATCCATAGCAGTGAGTACACCATGTTGTTAGTTTGAAAGACAACTGTAGATTGTGCCCCACAACTGGCATCCGTCTGTGGGTCGTGGCAAGGCTATATATTCACATATATAGGGTGGCTTGACAGGCTAGTAAAATATAGCACTAGCAGTAAAGCCAAGCGTAAATTCCAAAAATGGCCACCTAATCAAATACTAATGGCAATGTAAATGTTTATATAAAATATTAGCACAACAAATTTGGAGATTGGAACAGCTGAATTCGTACTAGTGTTAGCCTAGCCACTGGACGCAAATGATTTCTTCAAAAGGAAAATATCCTTAACAACTAAGACAGTGATTATACCGTATACACGGAAAAACACTGAAGACTTTTTAGGCGTTAAACAATTTTATTTAGGCTGCACAAAGTTTTGAGAAATGTATCATATTGCAATACAAACAACTGTGATTTTATTAATGCTAAGGCTGCTAATAGTAACAGGCTTTTATATTCCAAGAGTGAAACGATCGCGTAACGCATGTCAACATATGTTTGGCCAAACATGTGGACTTTCAGGTGGAGTAACTTCAGCTCTGTGATTATGTGAAAACTATAAGAAATGTTTAAAGATAAACAAAAAAATATCTTGAGACACTGAAATTAGCTTATTATCAGCCTAAATTATATTTTTGATTAAATAAAAAAGGTAGTTCTTTCAGAAAAAGAATCCAAAATTGTTATCGGCTCTCAAATCCAGTATCAAGGCACCTCTAGATATGATCTTTTTTTAAATCTGCTTTGATAAACATATATTAAATTCCAGAAGCAATATACCAGCGTATCGTGTTCTTTTATCATCCATAATATAAATATCTTGTTGCAGCATGCTTTTAATTCTCTTTAACCCACCTAGAAACCATGTTGTATGAGCAACCCCAGTGTAAAAGCACTAAATCCTGCTGTTTCGCTATCGTGCTCCACCCAAGCCCACTGGATTTAGATTAAGTGCTTTAATTTTTTAGTAATCTTTTCTAAAAGCTATTCAATTTTGTAGTTTAGAGTAGCAAAACACCTTTAATAAACTGAAAGAGAATTTCACAAACACAAATCTGGCCTTTTTCTTTCTGAAATATGGACTTTTATTCGGAGTGCACAGTGACAAATAGGATGACTCCACCCATCTACAGTAGAAAAGGAGTCGAGGGTCAAAAGATAACATGTCAGACAGGAAGCACCCGATCCCGCAGTGCCGTGTGGTTTACGTCTAAATTCATGTGCTGTCAAAACTTGTCCAAACAAAGACCCTACATGACTTCTCCTAAAATACACTTAAGGCATGATACAAGGATGTGGTATTTATGGGTCATTTGTATTTGCACATGTTTACACACTAAACCTGGTTCAGCACAGAGAATGAATGCAACATTTAATAGTTGCAAAGTCAATACCAGATGCTCTCTTTCCATGTTAAAGTCAGACACTTGAAAGCTTGGTGTCTGTAGTACCCTGTTAACCAGACAAACAAAAACATTACCTAACATCGGATGACTCATGTCTCCAGTTTCAGTTAAGAAAAAACCTCAAGCTCCCACCTTTTGGGATGGTTATCTGACAACCCAAGTCATAGTCCTGAACCAAGCGGGTGTAGGCTACTTCCTGCAGCCTGATCCTCTCCAACTCCGACAGGCTCTGGATATCCACAGGGGTCAGGCGTACGCTCCGGCCCGACAGGCTGCTCCAAGTGAAGTCTCCCTAACAGGAAATGAGAGTTAAGAAAAGGATTAAAAATGCCTCAGAAAATGAGGTAAGGACATTTGAAACATATATGAATTGGATCTTTCATGGAATTTTCCTTAGCCTTTCGGATGGTGCATACATGGAACTTAAACATTTTGTCAAGCGGTATTCATTAACAATGGGCGACAAATTTGTGCAGGTCATGTTAAGATGTTTTGTGGGCTTGATACGTACTGCGTGGACTGATTCAACAATCTCAGTCATTCTTACTCAGTAAGAAAGAAAGAAAAAAATCTTTTATATAGTGCCTCTCAACATAAAAATCACAAGTTGCCTCACAAAAACAACAAAATTTATGTATAAAAAAGATTTCAAAAAATGATTACAAATGTGTTTAAAATCAGACAAAAATAAAAATTGGGATTAAAAAATGTAAGAAAATGGAGGAGAGAGAAAATGAAAAGGAGAAAGAGGGAAATCAGTAGATCCTGGGAAAAGCGGAATAAGAGCAGAATAAAGAGGGGCTGATGACGAAGGTCAAGCAAAAATCCAGCTTGAACAGGTGAGTTTTCCGCTGCTTTTTAAAGGAGACCATTGAGTCCACTGATCTCAGGCCCAGGGCGAGAAAGTTCCAGAGTCTGAGGGCCACAGCAGCATAAGATCTGTCACCCATGGTCTTTAGCCTGGTGCGCTGTACAACCATTTTAAGGTTGGGCAATTGGATAAGTTAATCAGCCATCAGCAATAAGCCAAATCCTTTGCTGATCGTTTTTATTTTGTACGTGCAACATAGGGATGAGCGAGTACACCACTATCTGTATCTGTATCTGTTCGACCATCTAAATTATCTGTATCTGTATCTGTACTCGGAGTGGGCGTGGCCTAACCCAGAAGTGGGTGTAGTTTAACCGGAAGTGGGTGTGGTTTACATCAATACGTTATTTTAAGTCTGATCAGAAGTTGCCATGTCTTCGTCTTCGTCTTCGTCTTCCTCCGCTTATCCGGGTCCGGGTCGCGGGGGCAGCATCCCAATTAGGGAGCTCCAGGCCGTCCTCTCCCCGGCCTTGTCCACCAGCTCCTCCGGCAGGACCCCAAGGCGTTCCCGGACCAGATTGGAGATGTAACCTCTCCAACGTGTCCTGGGTCGACCCGGGGGCCTTCTGCCGGCAGGACATGCCCGAAACACCTCCCCGGGGAGGCGTCCAGGAGGCATCCTGACCAGATGCCCAAACCACCTCAACTGGCTCCTTTCGATCCGGAGGAGCAGCGGTTCTACTCCGAGTCCCTCCCGAATGTCCGAGCTCCTCACCCTATCTCTAAGGTTGAGCCCGGCCACCCTACGGAGGAAACTCATTTCGGCCGCTTGTATCCGCGATCTCGTTCTTTCGGTCATTACCCAAAGCTCATGACCATAGGTGAGGATTGGGACGTAGATCGACCGGTAAATCGAGAGCCTGGCTTTCTGGCTCAGCTCCCTCTTCCCCACGACAGATCGGCTCAGCGTCCGCATCACTGCAGACGCCGAACCAATCCGCCTGGCGATCTCCCGATCCCTCCTACCCTCACTCGTGAACAAGACCCCGAGATACTTAAACTCCTCCACTTGAGGTAGGACCTCTCCCCCGTCCCGGAGGTAGCAAGCCACCCTTTTCCGGTCGAGAACCATGGTCTCAGATTTGGAGGTGCTGATCCTCATCCCAGCCGCTTCACATTCGGCCGCGAACCTACCCAGCAAGAGCTGAAGGTCAGAGCTGGATGAAGCTAGGAGGACCACATCATCCGCAAAAAGCAGAGACGAGATTCTCCTGCCACCAAACTCGACACACTCCACACCACGGCTGCGTCTAGAAATTCTGTCCATAAAAGTGATGAACAGAACCGGTGACAAAGGGGAGCCCTGGCGGAGTCCAACCCTCACTGGGAACAGGTCCGACTTACTACCGGCTATGCGGACCAAACTCACGCTCCTCTGGTAAAGGGACTGAATGGCCCTTAACAGAAAGCCACCCACCCCATACTCCTGGAGCGTCCCCCACAGGATGCCCCTGGGGACACGGTCATAAGCCTTCTCCAAATCCACAAAGCACATGTGGATTGCTTGGGCAAACTCCCATGCCCCCTCCATCACCCTTGCAAGGGTATAGAGCTGGTCCACAGTTCCACGGCCAGGACGAAAACCACATTGCTCCTCCTCTATCTGAGATTCAACTATCGATCGGACCCTCCTCTCCAGTACCTTGGCGTAGACCTTTCCAGGGAGGCTGAGGAGTGTGATCCCCCTATAGTTGGAACACACCCTCAGGTCACCCTTCTTAAAGATGGGGACCACCACCCCGGTCTGCCACTCCCTAGGAACTGCCCCCGATGACCACGCAATGTTGTAGAGACGTGTCAACCATGACAGCCCTACAACATCCATAGCCTTGAGATACCCAGGACGAACCTCATCCGCCCCCGGGGCTCCGCCGCTGTGTAGTTGTTTGACTACCTCAGCAACTTCTGCCCCCGAGATCGGACAGTCCATCCCCAGGCCTCCCAGCTCTGGTTCCTCCTCGGAATGCGCATTGGTGGGATTGAGGAGCTCCTCAAAGTATTCCTTCCACCGTCCGACTATAGCCTCAGTTGACGTCAGCAGCTCCCCATCCCCACTGTAAACAGTGTGAGCGAGTTGCTGCCTTCCTCTCCTGAGGCGCCGGACAGTTTGCCAGAACCTCTTTGGAGCCGATCGATAGTCTTTCTCCATGGCCTCACCAAACTCCTCCCACGCCCGAGATTTTGCCTCGGCAACTGCCACTGCTGCACCCTGCTTGGCTATCCGGTACCTGTCTGCTGCCTCCGGAGACCCACAGACCAGCCACGCCCTGTAGGCCTCCTTCTTCAGCCTGACGGCTCCCCGAACCTCTGGTGTCCACCAGCGGGTACGGGGGTTGCCACCACGACTGGCACCGGCCACCTTACGACCACAGCTAGCAACAGCCGCTTCGACAATCGCAGAGTGGAACAAGGCCCACTCGGACTCAATGTCCCCCACTGCTCTCGGGACGTGGTCAAAGCTCTGCCGGAGGTGGGAGTTGAAGACCGTCTTGACAGGTTCTTCTGCCAGGCGTTCCCAGCAGACCCTCACTATGCGTTTGGGTCTGCCAGGTCTACGTGGCATGTTCCCTTGCCATCTGATCCAACTCACCACCAGGTGGTGATCAGTTGACAGCTCCGCCCCTCTCTTCACTCGGGTGTCCAAAACATATGGCCGCAGGTCAGATGATACGACTACAAAATCTATCATCGACCTGTGACCTAGGCTGCCCTGGTACCAAGTGTACCGGTGGGCATCCTTATGTTCGAACATGGTGTTCGTTATGGCCAAACTGCGGCTTGCACAGAAGTCCAATAACAAAACACCGCTCGAGTTCAGATTAGGTGGGCCGTTCCTCCCAATCACACCCCTCCAGGTCAAGCTGTCATTGCCCACGTGAGCATTGAAGTCCCCCAGCAGGACAATGGAGCCCCCTGATGGAGCACTATCTAGCACTCGTCCCAGGGAATCCAAAAAGGGTGGGTACTCTGAACTGATATTTGGCCCATAAGCACAAACAACAGTCAGGACCCGTTCCCCGACCCGAAGGCGCAAGGAAGCTACCCTCTTGTCCCCCGGGGTAAACCCCAACACACAGGCAGAGAGTCTCGGGGCTAACAAAAAGCCAACCCCAGCCCTCCGCCTCTCACCCGGAGCAACTCCAGCAAAGTAGAGTGTCCAACCCCTCTCCAGGTCTCGGGTTCCAGAGCCAATGCAATGTGTCGAGGTGAGTCCGACTATATCTAGCCGGTAGCGCTCAACCTCTGCCACAAGCTCCGGCTCTTTCCCCGCCAGCGAGGTGACGTTCCATGTCCCAAAAACTAGTTTTCTTGTCCGGGGATTGGACCGCCAAGGCTCCCGCCTTGGTCTGCCACCCGATTCGCATTGCACCGGACCCTTCATGTTCCTCCTGCGGGTGGTGGGTCCACAGTTGGACGAGCCCATGTATCCGGTTCGGGCTGGGCCCGGCCGGGCCCCATGGGCGAAAGCCCGGCCACCAGGCGCTCGCTCACGGGCCCCAACCCCAGGCCTGGCTCCAGGGTGGGACCCCGGTAACCCTCCGGGCCGGGTACTCCGACTCTTCGTTTTAACCGCCATGAAAGATCCTTCGAACCGTTCTTTGTCTCACCCTTCACCTAAGACCAATTTGTCATGGGAGACCCTACCAGGGGCACTAAGTGCCCCAGACAACATAGCTCCTAGGATCATTAGGGCACTCAAACTCCTCCACCACGATAAGGTGACGGTTCAAGGAGGAGTAGTTGCCATGTGTATTGTTTATTTGAGAACTATTTACAGAGCAGCCTCAGAGTTGAGATTAAATGTTTTTGATCACAATAGTAAAGGAACTATTACAGAACAAGTTTTTCAATAAAATCAGAACATTAATATTTAAGTGCATGAATTAAGAGAGAGAGAGAGAAAGAGAAGAAAAGATCTTTTCTATAGCGCTTCTCAAGATAAAAATAACGGGGCACTTCACAAAACAAAGCATGTAAAATAGAAAAAAGAACTTAGAAAATGATTAAAATATATTTAAAATGAGCAAAAAATAGACATTTGTGATAAAAAAAAATGTAAAGAAAGAGAGAGAGTGAATAGGAAAGAGGGAGTGGATCCTGAGGAAGAGGAGAGAGAGAGAGAGGGAAAAAAACAACCGGAGCGGAGGCAGTGACTGACACAGCACGAGCCATTTTCAGCTCTGTCTTGTTAAATGCACCACGTACGTTACGAAAAAAAGTAACTTTAAATAACTTTAAAGTAACTTTAAAAAGAAGCAAACTGATGAAAACATAGGGAGTACTGAAGAAACGTGAACAGTGAAGCAAGCACAGAGAGATCCGTTACTGTCTGTGTGTGTGCGTGGATGGACTGGAAGGGACTGAGCTGTGAGCTCCCGGCTGCAGAGTTTTGTGTGTAGGGAGGGGCGGGCGCTCTATGT